AAGACACATACAGACTGAAAGTAAAGGAATAGAAAAGGATTTTCCATGAAAATGGAAACAAACAAAAAAGCTGGGGTAGCAATACTTAGACAAAATACTTTTTTTAAAAAGCTGTAATAGACAAGGAAGGACATTACATAATGATAAAGGCATCAATCCAACAAGAGACTACAGCCCTTGTAAATATTTATGCACTCAATATAGGAGCGCCTAAGTGTGTGTGTGTGTGTGTGTGTGTGTGTGTGTGTGTGTATAAATGAAATATTAATGTATATAAAATTAGAGATTAATAGTAATACAGTCATAGTAGGGGATATAAATACCCATTTGACATCGATGGATAGATCTTCCAGACAGAATATTAATAAGGAAACAGCAGTCTTAAATGACACACTAACCCAGATATATTTAATTGATACTTTCAGAGGATTTGGCCAAAGTAGCAAAATATACATTTTTATCAAGTGCACATGGAACATTTTCTAGAATAGACCACATGTTAGGCCAGAAACAATTCTCAGTAAATTTAAGAAGATTGAAATTATATCAGGCATCTTCTCTGACCACAATGGTATGAAATTAGAAAACAGTTACAAGGGAAAATAAACACACAAACACACGAAGGCTAAATAATATGTAGATCAACATGAAGATCATTAACAATGAGGTCAAGGAAGAAATAAAAGATACCTTGAGATAAATGAAAACACAACAACCCAAAATCTATGGGACACAGGGAAAGCAGTCCTAAGAGGGAAATTAATAGCATTACATGTCTACTTCAAGAAAAAAGAAAAACTTTGCCCTGACCTAGTGGCTCAGTTGGTTGGAGAATTAACCTGATATGCCAAGGTTCAGGTTTGATTTCTAGTCAGGAAACATGCAAGAATCAACCAATGGATGCATGACTGTGTGGAACAACAAATCAACAAATCGATTTGTCAGTCTGTCTCTCTCCCCCTCCCCTTCCTCTCTTTCTAAAATCAATAAAAGTAAAGATGAAAAATCTCAAATAAACCATCTAACCTTACACCTAAAGAATCTAAAAAAAAAAAAGGCAAAGCCTAAAGTGAGCAAACAGAAGGAAAAAAAATACAGATCAGAGCAAAAATGAAAGGTATATAGTCTAAAAAATAAGATCAATGAAACCAAGAGCCTCTTCTTGAGAAGATAAACAAAGTGATAAGCCTTTAACCAGAGTTGTCATAAAAAAGGAGCAAGGACCCTAATAAGTAAAATCAGAAATGAAAAAGAAGTGAAAACTGACACTACAGAAATACAAAGGATTCTAAGAAAATATTACAGATAACTACATGCCAACAAATTGGACAATCTGGAAGAAATAAATACATTCCTAAAAACATACAATTTTATGAAACTGAATCAAGAAGAAACAAAATCTGAACACACCAATTACAACCGATGGAATTGAAGCAGTAAAGAAAGCAAAATCCTGACAAGCAAAATTCCTGGGCCAGACATCTTCACAGGTGAATTTTCAAAGGAGAACAAACATCTGAGGAAGAACCAATACTTGTTGTTCTCAAACTATTCCAAAAAATTCAAGAGGGGGGAACTGCCAAGCTTATTTTATGAGGCCAGCATTATTTTAATTCCCAAACCAGAAAAAGACACTAAAAGAAAATGATACACTAACATTTCTGATGAACATAGATGAAAAATCCTCCACAAAATATTAGCAAACTAAATTCAGCAATACATAAAAAAATTTATACACCATAATGAAGTGGGATTTATTTCTGTGATGCAAGGTTGGTACAATATCCACAAATTAATGTCAAATAGCATATAAGCCAAATGAATGAAAAAAATCATGTAAACATTTCAATAGATGCAGAAATGCATTTGACAGAAACCAGCACTTATTTAAGATAAAAACTCAGCAAAATAGGAATAGAGGGAATATACTTCAACATAATAAAGGCCATACATGACGAATCCACAGATAACATCATGGTCAGCAGGGAAAAACTAAAAGTGTTCTCTTTAGATCAGAAACAAGACTGGGTTATCCACTTTCACCTCTCTTATTCAACAAGTACTGGAAGTCCTAACTAGAAATCAGACAAGAAAGAGGAATGGAAGGCATCCAAATTGGTAGGAGAAGTAAAACTCATTATTTGTAGATGACATGAAACTGTATGTAGAAAACTCTAAAGATCACCTCCAAAAACTACTAGAACTGATCAATGAATTCAGTAAAGTAGTAGGATACAAAATTAATATCCAGAAATCTATTTTCTTTTTATACACTGATAATGAAATATCAGAAAGGGAAATGAAGAAAGCAATGCCATTTACAATTTCTTTGAGAAAAAATAAAATACCTAGGAATAAATTTAACCAAGGTGGTAAAAGTCCTGTACTTGGAAAATTATGACACTGAAGAAAGAAATGGAAAGAAATTCAAATAAAGAGAAGCCTATAGCATGCTCATGGGTCGGAAGAATTAACACCATTAAAATGCCCATACTACCCAAGGTGATTTGTAGATTCCGTGCAATTTCTACCAAAATACCAATGGTATATTCCAGAAATGTATATAGAACCACAATAGATCCTGAATAGCCACAGCAATCTTGAGAAGGAACAAAGTTAGAGATATAATACTACCTGATATAAAACAAGGCTATATAGTAATCAAAACAGGATGGTACTGTCATTAAAAAAAAAAAAAAAACCAAACAACTACAAACATATAGATCAATGAATCAGAATAGAGAGCCCAGAAATAAACCCATATATGTTCAATTAATATTTGATAAAGGAGGTAAAAATGTACAATGGGGTAAATACAGTCTATTCAGTTAATGGTGTTCTGAAAATTGGGAAGATACAACAAAAATCAAACAACCATATTCTTAGACCATATACAAGAACGAATTCAAAATGGATTAGAAGCTTAAATGTAAGACTTGAAAACAAAAAGAAAAAAATAACCTAGAAAAAAGAATGAATGCTTAAATCTCTGACATTTTTCTTAATATTTTCTTCTGATAAGTCTCTTTGGGCAAGGGAAACAAAAGAAAAAATAAAATGGGACTGTATCAAACTAAAAGGTTTTCGCAAAGCAAAGGAATCCATCAACAAAGTGAAAGGACAACCTATTGAATGGGAGATGATACATCCCATAAGGAGTTTATATTCAAAAGTTATAAAGTACTCATACAATCAACACCAAAAAAAAAAAAGTCAAATTTTAAAATGAGCAGAGAACCTGAATAGACACTTCTAAGAGCAAATACAGATGGCCAATAAACAGATGAAAAGATACTAAAGGTCAGTAATTACCAGAGAATTGCAAATTCAAACCATAATGAGATATCACCTCACACATGTCAGAATAGCTATCATAAGTAAATCGACAACGAAACATTGGTGGAGATGTGGAGAAATGGGAACCCTCATGCACTTTTTGTGATAATGCAGGTTAATCAGCCACTATGGAAAACAGTATGGAGGATCCTCAAAAAAATGAAAAATAGAACTGCCTTATGACCCAGTGATTACACTTTTGGGTGTATACATAAAGAAACCCAAGACACTAATTGAAAAGAATATGTGCACCCCTATGTTCACTGCAGCATTATTTACAATAGCCAAGATACGGCAGCAACATATGTGCCCATCAGTAGGTGAGTGAATAGAAAAACATTGTTTTGCATATATACAATAGAATATTACTTGGCCATAAAAAAGAATGAAATTTTACCATTTGCATCAAAATGGATGGAACTAGAGGGTATTATGCTAATTGAAATAAGCCAATCAGGTAAAGACAAATACCATATGATTTCACTTACATATGGAATATAATATAAATAAACAAAAAACAAACAGAGAATACACTATAGATACCAGAGGGTGAAAACAGTGAAGGGATTAAGAAGTAAAAATTGGTAGTTAAAAAATAGTCATGGGGATATAAAGTACAGGAAATATAGTATAGGAAATATAGTCAGTAATATTGTAATAATTATGTATAGTTTCAGGTGAGTACTGGAAATATCGGGGTAGTACTTTGTAAAATATGTTATCATCTAACCACTATGCTGTGCAACTGAAACTAGTACAAATTAAAATTGAGTGTAAACTGTAATTCAAAAAATTTTAATTTTCCCAGTTAAATGTTATAAACACAAGAAAGCTTTATACCAGTTGTAACTACCATCAACTTAAGATATGACAGCACCTCAAGATGATGATCAATTTACAGAGAAGAAAAGGAGAAATCATCACAGGGGAAATGTGTGGGTTCACTAAGCCTGAATAATCTGAGTTTCAACAACTTCTAGATTTCATTATGTGCTTATCAAACCCTCAGAAACATAAAAGTAATGTGGTTGTTAGCACGGTTCTGTCCTGGGGAAAAAGTGAGGTGTGTGTATTGCCAAGAGTGCTGAAGCTAGGTCAGAGGATGATACTCTGAAAATACCTGAGAGTTCATGACACAAGGCCTCAAGAACTGACTGTTGTGGGGAAAAGCAAATGAACAAAAATGTGGCTTATATGAAGATATGCCTGAAAAACAGTTGACAGTAACTGAAATTTCTATGGTGAAAGACTGTAGAGCCAACTTCCTAGTTGCTTTTTTAGTTCACAGGGCATTTGCACACCTACCCAGGGAGCATTTAAGCATCCGGTATCTGCTGGATGGTGGTGATTTGGATCTTTATGGCATATAACCACCTTTCGTGGCTCAGATGTCTCATTTTTTTCTAGGAATAGAGCAGGATTTCCTAAGATTGCACTCTTACCGCTTGGGCCAGATCATCCTCTGCATTGGAGGGTGCTGAGCATCTCACTCAGTAGGTGCTAGTCCCTGCTGTGGTACCCAAAAATGTCTCAAGACAGTGTAAATATCCCCTGGAAAACAAAAACATCCCCTGTTAAGAACCACTGAAATGATCTGAATTGAGTTTTAAAAAGATCTGGTTTAAAAAAGAACTTTTTCATTTGTTTCAACCCATTTGCTTTAGAGTCAGAAATGTAAGGATGCGTTGTTTCAGCTCAACCACAGGGCCCTTCAGCTGGGAGAGGAGGCCTCTACCCAGCAGGCCCAAACTGAGAAAAACTGCATCACAATTCAACTGTTAACACAGAGCCTAGAGGAGGCTGGACAGCAGGGCGAGTTGCAGGTGAGGAGTAGCTGGGAGGCAGTGGGGTAGAGAGGAGTAGGCACAGTAAAGAAACAGCCTAAAACATATCAGAAGCACATGTTTTTAGGTAGGCAATGCCTACAGAAAATGTCAAAAGGTGGGCACTGCCCTGCATGTGAAGTGAAGGACTTAATTGGCAAGCCTGGGAAAATATGTGGATTTCAGCAGCTTTTGCAAATCCCCGTTATCTAGAAAAGGTAGCAGAAAGGAATTAAATTCTGATGATAAAACAGTACATGGGTACAGTCTGTTTGGAGGACAGTTTGGCAAATTTTGTATCAAGAGCCTCAAGAATGTCAGTATCCTCTGACTTCATGATTCTACTTACTGAGTTTTACCTGAGCATTGTGGAAAAACTTAGAAGTATTTTCATTGCTGTGGTATTTGTAATAGCAAAACAGAATTGGAATCTATTTGAATCATTCAACAATTTACTGAATGAGTCAGTAAATTATGGTACAGCTGTTAAAAACCATGTTTTCAAATAATATTTAATGTCTTGAAGAAATGATCAAGATATAATAAGAAAGCACAGCATATAACACTGTACCAGTCTTACCAATAGAAATTCTATGTGTAGAGGAAGGGCTAAAGTATGACAATACAATGTCAGGTGTGGTCCTTTGACTTGCTAGGATCATGGGTGATTTAAATTTTGCAATTTTTGCTTTTCTGTAATTTTCTGAAGCTTCTGCATTAAACATGAGTCAAACTGCTAAGCTATTTCTTATACTTGTGGGATTGATTAAAAAAAAAAAAAAACGGTGACCAAATTTAAAAACTTTACCTCGAACTTGAACCCATCAATCAGGAATGTCAGCCTGAGACTGTCACGGTCACAGCTGAGAGAGACCTTTGAAGAAAATAAAAACCAGGTGGGTGTATATGATGGTCTGAGATGCTGGGTCCCATCTGGAAAAGAGAGACGGTGCAGTTCAGTGCTGACAGAGGCTTGTCAGGACTCGTCCATCCCAGAGAAGTTTTCAGGCTGGCCTGAGGTTGCACAGCTAGCTGGTGAGGCACTTACCAGGCCCAGGACTGAAATCAAGCCTAGTTCAGAGTTGCGTTGACCTTGAACAGACCATGTGGAGAGCTGTGTCTCAGTTTACTCCAGAGGGAAGGAGGCCAGTAAACATGTCCTTGGGTGTGCCCTTTACAGAACTGAGGAGCCAGAGGAAACCTTCAGGGTGGCATCAGAGGAAGGGGAGTAGTGTCAGATCCAAGGCAGCCAGTCAAGGTCTTGGGGCAGAGTAGACCCCATGGGTAAGGAGCTCCATGCCCCTATTTCACACATATTTACATGTGTACAGTGAAGCCCTGAAGTTGCACATGTCTGTATATGTCACACCTGCTATCTCCTAAACTGTCCTGCTCCAGCATTTGTCCAGCGCTTGCCAGGACTGTAAGGTACAAAGATGGAGAGTCAGAGAGCTCATAGCTGTGGACAAACATGAACCTTGGGGTGCTCTACCAGTGTGAGATTCAGGCACACAGAGGGGTAGCCAGTTCTTCCTGGGAGATCCAGATGTTCAAGGGGGAAGAGAGAATGGCAGGTGTGTAACAGTAGGAAGTGTCCTGAGTACTGAGAGCCCAGTGCAGACTCAGATATGGGGTGCACTTGGAAAGCCAGGGCTATAGGAGGAGAGAGCCTTTGGGAGAGGCCACCCAGAGCACAATATATTAGGGGTCTCTAACCCACGTGGCCTCAATCCCAGCACCAACCTCACTTGAGTGTGTCACCTGAGTGTTTTCCTCGAGCCTTTTTGCAGGTTCCCCTACTGGTTTTTGACCCCACAGCTGGCCTTGGCCTTGGTGACACCTGGTATGAAAGGGCAAGATGCCCAAGGCTGCAGAGGGGTCAGCTTGGGTGTGGGCTGTTGGGGGCTCCTGTAGGCTGTCAACTTTCCCACTGCATGCACTTTCTCAGAGGTGCTTCTGTACTTGGGGGTTCCCTTCTCTATTTAATAGTGTGAAAAGACCATTGAGAAATTGCCTTGGTCAGTTCGAGCCCTTTGAGGCCAAAAAGTCAGCCAGCATCACAGGCAAGAGATACATTACTTAAGCAGTCCTATTGCAACATGAACTGGTTTCCGTTTCTTTGTGATTTAGATTCCCCTCTGAAACCACACTGATGAAAGTCCAGAGGAGGGAAGTACAGGCATCTACAGAATAGTTAAGGCACCTCTGTGTGTGCTGTGGTGAGGATGGGCATGAAAATATGAAGATGCATGGGAAGAAGCCATTGTTGTCACTGAGGCATCAGTGGGTGGTTCTGATAAGGAAGATCTAGGAGGTCACTAAGCCATGAAGGTTGGACCAGTAATAGCAGGAGAGCGGCTTGAGTAAGGCCCTGGGAAGTCTCAGCGCTGTTATTTTTAAAAACATGCTGACCAAATCCAACATTCTGTTGATCCTGCCCGGATGCAAGAGGACGACTCAGGTCCACCCCTCAGTGGATGAATGGCATGGCCTCCACCTATCAATGAAGAGAAGGCTCAGAGTCCAACTCTCAATGGGACAGGAAGAGCAGCCTAAGCACTCTGGAGCTGGACCAGCACCATCTGCACCTCACTTCCATGAAGAGGAAGATGAAAAGGACTGGAAAGAATTCAGCTCGTGAATGCTTATGTGCTAATTGTCCATGTAGATAGTCACAAAGTAGGGCAGCAGGGACTGCCACACTGGGTACGCAGCGGCCTCCCTGCAGAAAAGGTCGCTGTCAGGAGCACAGGTTCAGCGGGGTGGCTGTAGAAGGTCAGTGAGGAGCATAAAGCAGTGTGTTCAAAAGAAGAGTACATCAAAGGAGGTAGGAAGCAAGGTCAGAGTAGGAGTGCCATTGGGATGCAAAATCACAGGGCCTGGGATGGAGCTTGGTTTTGGCTGGGGTGGTTGCAGAATGACTCATCTAAAGCGGGAAAGTCTAGAGGAAGCTATTTTTGCTGATGTATCTCAGCACTGGTTTTTCCTTCTCTTTCCCTCTCAAAGTAGCATGGCAACTGTCCCCTGGAAGCTATTCAGGTACGTCTCTCTGGGATGACCCCTGTCCTAGAGAACAGTTGTGCGTTACAGTGATGATATGGTCCTTTAGAGATGTGAGGTGACACAGTTATTATTGAAACAAATCTGGGCTGGAGGTTTGCAGCCTCATTATCACACTTGTGTGGCCAGAGTGGGTACCCTCCCTTTCTCTCTCTCTGACCACTCTGAGACCTGCTCTGTGACTTTAAAAAAAAAAAAAAATTATGAGTTTATCTGAGCCAAACTGATGAACATACCAGGGAGCAAGATGCCCTCCTAAGTGTGACATTTGATGGTGCCTCAGAGGAGCATAAGGGCCGATATGACCAGTTCTTTTAGGGACCAAGGAAATACTGTGTACTTAGATGAAGTCCCCAGAGTCAGAGTGATTTAAATGGTGTTTGGATACGATCTCCTGATTGCCTAAGGAAAATATTCGCCACATGAGGTGCAGTTCAGTCATAATGACTCAGCATAACTCTGTGAGTTCTGTACAGTCCTCTGTGGCTAGGGGGCTACCTTCCACACCTGCTCCCATGTTCCTTTCTGCATTCACTGTGTGTTAATTACCCTCTGTGCCATAGCCCCCAAGAGGTCTTAGGATTGTAAACTCTCCACTTAAAGGAAAGTTACCATGTCCAGCTTGCATGGGTTACAGTTTTTAAATAAGCAGAGTCCAGTGAGGTGTGCTGGAAGGTAAAAATGAACAGAATATATACCATGATCCTCCCATGGATCTAATGTGAAGTCTCAGCATCATCATTCTGAGGATCACAGGCACAACTTTTCCTCTCGCTGAGCAACTCTGGCAACATGGAAGTGCCTGAGAATAGGCTGTTTATAAATCCTGCATTCTGCTGCAGAGGCAGATACCACAGATGAGAGATGCCTTACTTGCCCTTCCAGCTGTAGGCTTAAACACAGAAAGCTGTAGTTCTCAGCAACCACACCAAAGCTGTTGTAACCTTTTCTCTGGTACAGCTGCACAGGGCCAACCTGAGGCTGAGAGTTTATACTCCTGGCCAGCACTTCCAGGAGATCCACCAGCTACAGGAACAGATGAAGCAGAACAAGCCTCCGGGCTCTATGGTCGAGCTACAGGAGCTACTGGAGTGGGAGCAGTGGGCAGCTCAACAGCTCCGCTTGGAGTGCAGCCTCTAGGAGGAAGCACGGAGGTGACTGGAAGCACAGTGTGTGAATGAGGACAAAGGCCCTGAGGTTCTAGCTGACGGTGACAGGGAGGATGAGGTTGGCTCACTGGTCATTCAGCCAAAAACTACCCTAATGCCAAGGGGAAGACAGCCCAACAGCCATCCTAACTCCATGAGGATTGGTTGTACAGAAGCTGTGAGGGCCTGGTTTTCATGTTAATAATGAAGGACTCTAACAGATGACCAGGAAGGATCATGGAGGGGCAGTAAGCCTCTCAGAGTAGGTGTCCTTTACCCACTCAGGGAGCACTTGAGCAAGCTGATCCTGAAGTTTTCAGCCTGGGGGCCACAGTTCCTCTAGATGCAACCTGTCCTTTGGGGATGCAAGTGTCTGTTGTAGGCTCCATGGCTATACATCTGGGGCCACACACCGATTGCTTACAGGACCTAAAAGGTGGTGATACAGAGAGGTTATGAGTGAGGTGATGGGGTATTGGCCCCTGCTGTGTAGCACTGTGGGAGTACAGACCTAAGCATTCCATTTCTCCTGATTTCAAAGAAATACCAGAAACTAAATTTTTACATGAACACTCCCAGTTCCCAAATGATGCACATAATTTTTAAAAAATCTTAAACCATTATGCAGACGGAAAAAAAAAATCCACCTAAAGGCACACAAGGACTGCATAAGTTACACGCTGATCTGGGTATTAGAGACACAGAAATGACACAAAGACAAAATGATGCAAAAGGGCGTTTTGTGCCCTCTTGGAGCCTATATTCCAGTGGTGGTAGGGAGACAAAAAAAAATGAAAAAATAAAAAATGCATAATGTGAGTAGCATGTCAGATGGTCATGAGTGCTGTGGAGTGGGACACATTGCAATTTTTAATAGGATAGCCAGAGAAGGTGGCTCTTGAGCCAACACCCAAAGTTGCTGAGGCAGCAAGCCATCTAGTAACCTGGGGAAAGAGGGTTATAGGCTGCAGAAAGAGCATGTGCAATGGTCCTGAGGTGGGTATGTACTTGGTATGTTTAAGAATAGCAAGTATCAGAGAAAGGGAAGAGGAGGGGAGAGGGTAAGGGGTCAGCAAGGTAACAGCATAGACTTGGGGAGCCTGCTGTGTGCAAGGCACTGCACTAGGCATCTAGAGAGGTAGAAAAAGGGTTACTGCCTTAAAGGGCAACAGGACAGTGGCTCAAGAGCATGGACTGCAGAGATTGGTATCCTGGTTCCCCCACTTCCCAGCTGAGTTACCATAGGCCAGCTACTTCACCTCTGTACTTCTGGTTCCTCATCTGTGTAATTCAGATACCAGTGGTACCCACCTCAAAGCATTATTGCAAGGCATCAATGAGTTAGCACTTTTAAAGTGCTTGAATTGTCTGTGGAAACATGTGCACCCTATGCGAGGGTTAATTTAAGAGCTCAAGAAAACAACTTGATCCTGAAATGTTGAAACATAGTTCATGAGGAAAGTCCAGGGCAGAAGTGATCAGGAGCCAGAGGGCAGTCGGTGCCTTCATGCCCCCAAATTAGAGCAAGGCTTGAAAGGTCAGTAAAATTCAGTGTTTGTAAAACAAATTCTAACAAAGACTAACCTTTCAGCATTTTGCAAAAATGTTAACCTAGAGACAAAGGTAAGCTGTGATAGATTATTGACCAAACAAAGGAATTTAATCAGAAATTCTTTAGAAATACTTAGTAACACATATGAGGAAACTCACTTTGGAGCCATTTATGATTTAATTTTCGGGAAAAGCAGCTGGCTAATTCTTGGACTACAAAAAGAAATAACGGTTTTGTGGCTAGGGACACACGTATTTTTAAAATTTATTTTTATTTATTGTATTTGTTCCATTGCCATTTATCCCCCTTACCCTCTTCCACCTCCATCCATCAACATATCCTCCACAATCACCACGCTGTTGTCCACGTCCATGAGTTTTTTCTTCAATCCCTCCATCCCCACAACACCCCACCAGCTGAGAGCTGTCAGCCTGCCCTCTGTTTTGCTTCTTAGTTCAGTTTGTTGATTATGTTCCACATCTGAATGAAATTATGATACTTGTCTTTCCCTGACGGGCTTATTTCACTTAGTGTAATGTTGCAAAGGGTAACATTCTTTTTTATGGCTGAGTAATACTCCATTGTGTAAATGTATCATAGCTGTTTTATCCACTCATCTATTGATGGAAACTTGGGATGCTTCCAAATTTTGGCTATTGTAAATAACGCTGCAATGAACATGGGGGTGCTTATATTTTTTCCAATTAGTGTTTCAGGTTTCTTCAGATAAATTCCCAGAAGTGGAATTGCTGGGTCATAAGGTAGTTCCATTTATTTTTTGTGGTATCTCCATACTGCTTTCCATAGTGGCTGCACCAATCTGCATTCCAAAAGTGCAAAACGGCTCCCCTTTCACCACATCCTTGCCAAAACTTATTTATCGATAGCCATCCTGACCAGTGTGAAGTGACACCTCATTGTGGTTTTGATTTGCATTTCTCTGATGATTGATGATGTTGAGTATCCTTTCATGTGTCTATTGGACATCTGTATTCAAAAACAGACACATCTGGAGAAGCATCTATTCAGGTCCTTTGCCTATTTTTTTAATTGTATTGTTTGATTTTTTGATGTTGTTCTAAATAATTTTGAATATTAACTCCCTACAAACATATTGGCAAATATGTTCTCCCATTCCATGGGGTGTCTTTTTTATGGTTTTCTTTGCTGTGTAAAAATTTAGTTTGACATAGTCCCATTTGTGTTTTTTTGTTTGCTTGTTTCCTTTCCCTTTTTGATTATTATTGGTGTACAAAAATACAGCTGATTTCTGGATATTCATTTTGTACACTGCTACTTTACTGAATTCAATAGTCAGTTCTAATAGTACTGTCCACTCCGCCCCGCCCCAGAAATCTTCAGGATTCTCTGGAAACAATGACAACTTTACTTCTTCCTTTCCAATTTGGATGCTTTGTATTCTTGAGTGCTTTAGGACTTGAATTCAAGAGTGGTGAAAACGTACATCCATGTCCTGTTCCCCATATAAAGGGGGATACTTGTGATCTTTGTCCATTAGAATTATGTTGCCTGTGTTTGTCAGATATGGCCTTTATTGCATTAAGGTGTGTTCCCTCTTCTTTTTGCTTTGCTGAGGGTTTTTATAGCCTTCATTTTATGTGGTGTATCATGATTGATTGATTAGCAGATATTATACCAACCTTGCATCCCCAGAATAAATCCCACCATATCATCACATGATCTTTTTAATGTATTGCTGGATCTGGTTTGCTAATATTTTGTTTAGGAACTTAGCACCTATGTTCTTCAGGGACATTGGCCTATAATATTCCTTTTCTGTAATGTCTTTTTCTGGCTTTGGATTTAGAACACTGGTCTTGTAAAATGAGCTTGGGAGTCTTGAATTTTTTGGAATAGTTTGAGGAAAGGGGTTATTTCTTCTCTGAATGTTTGATAAAGTTTACCTGTGAAATCAACCAGTCCAAGACTTTGTTTTTTGATGACTGCTTCAATTTTACTAATTGTAATCTTGTCTATTCTGTTTTATTCTTCCTGATTTAGTTTTGAAAGATTGTGTATTTCTAGGAAGGTATCCATTTTGTCCAGATTTCCCAATTTGTTGCCATATAGTTGTTCATATTTTCTTAGAATCTCTTGTATTTCTCTGGTATCAAGTTATTTCACCTCTTTCATTTTTTTAATTGGGTTTTTTTGTTTTGTTTTGTTTTGTTTTTTAATGAGCCTAGTTAGTTGTCGTCTTTTCTATCTTTTCAGAGAACTAGCTCTTGGATTCATTGATCTCTTTTACTTTTTTTAAGACTCTTTTATTTCTCCTCTGATCTTTATTTCCTTCCTTATACTCATTTTGAGCTTTGTTGTTCAAGTTCCTTTACATGTAAAGTTAGATTGAGTTTTTTCTTGAAATAGTCCTTTAATGAATTTCCTTCTTAGGGCTGTTTTCCCTGTATCCCACAGATTTTGGGTTTTTGTGTTCTCATTTGCATGTTTCAAGGTATCTTTTGATTTCTTCTCATTGTTGAGTAACATGTTATTTAGCTCCCATCTTTGTGGGTTTTTTTTTTTCCACTTTTCTTCCTGTGATTGATATCTAGTTTCATAGCATTATGGTCAGAGATGCTTGATAGGATTTCAGTCTTAAATTTGAGACTTGCTTTGTGACAGAACATTTTACTCTATAAAGACAAAAGATTATCTATAGTTACTCTCAAATTTGCACATTTTAGCTCATTTCCACTTTATAGTAAGCAAGCCTGAGATGATTCACTTTAAAATGTAAAATAATGGGCCCTGGCTGGTGTGGCTCAGTGGACTGAGCACCAGCCTGCAAACCAGGTCACAACTTTGATTCCTGGTGAGGGCCTGTGTTGTGGGCCAGGTCCCAAGTTGGGGTTGAGGGGCAACCAACTGATGTCTCTCCCCCTCTTTTTATCCCTCACTTCCACTCCAAGAGTAAAAAAAAATCTTTAAAAAAATAAAATGTACAATACTGGCTTATAACCTTCTTTTGTGGCAGGAAGAACATAAAAAACAGCTTAAAGACATAGAAGAGTGGGTAGAAAAATTGGAAATGATTTCGAAGAACATGGAAATACTCCTACAAGAAAAAGTGGCTGAGCTGGGACAGCAGGTGAGTGAGGGGCTTATCAGTACAAACTAATACCTCTTTCAGAACTGTCCCCCCCTCTTTAATGGATGTTCAAGTAGCTGATTCAGGGAGTGACTATCTTCTCACAGACCTCAAGAGAACCCCATATTCATTTGGAACCAGTGAATCTGGGGTTTCATCTAAACATTTTGAGAATATGAATGTACACATTTTTTCCAGAAGATTAACAATTAAAAGCAATAAAAAAACTGATTTTATTAAATATATACCCTACATTATATTTTTAGATTGTGTTTAAGAATTCTTTTAAATTAGTAAGAAAAGATACTACAACTTGATCTTAGCCCAAACGCCAAGAAGCGATGGGGAATTTTTTGAGGTGTTCACTAACCTCAGAAAAGATGTTCAGGCATTCCTCGTACCTGTTATGTATCAAGGAATTGTTACAGGTAGACTCTGAGATAAGCCCTCAAAGAACTTACATTCTGAAAGCAGAGAGAGATAATAAGAAGATAAATGGCCTCGGGTTATAAGAGTTGCTCTGAAGAAAAGAAAATGGTGATGGGTGAGGTCTGGTGAGGATGGTCAGGATATGGCATGGCAGCATATATCTAATGAACAGAGACCAAGTTGACATTTTAGAAGGAAGAATGCTCATGGTGGGGCTGTTCTGTGCATTACAGTGCTTAAATGCTAGTAGCACCCACAATCACTAGGACAGCTGTAAAAGGGCACTCACCTGTCTCCACATGTACTAAGGAACATGTGCGAACCCCAAGGAGGAGGTGATTTCACACAGAAGGAGTGGCACATGTACATGTCCTTATGAGACCCATCATGGCATGCAGAAGGCCACTGAGGAGTTACTGTGGCTGGTGTGATCTTATGGGTGGGTACAGGAAGGCAAGGTCCCATCAAGGTCAGTAGTTTGGATTTTATTTTAATTGCAATTAGAAGCCATTGGAAGAGTTTAAGAGCATGATGGGATCTCTATTTTTGAAGAAATCACCATGGGGAAAAAAAAGAAATAACCTGGGCTGCTATATGAAGAAAAGAATGAAAACGGTCATTGCTGTCCTGATCAATAAAAGCTTACAATCTCATTCATCCAGCAATTAAATCAGTAAGAACTAACTGGCAGTGGAGCAGCCACCATGGGGAGTGCTGGGAGGGGCAACAAAGTCAGAAGAGACACACAAAGGCAAATACCAGCTGCTCCAAAAAAGTTGTATTGCAGTGCTAGAAGAAATGAAAGAAATGTGAAACACTGTAGAAATATTTTTGTTACATAATAATCAAGTATGGTTTATCTGAGGGATCCTGAACTGAGCTCAAATATGGTGAAATATTGTATTGCCTCTTGCTCCTGAATCATGGTGGAAGTTTCCCAGGCTGAGTCATTTTTAGGGCCTATCCCCCTTCTTGTCCACCTTCCTGGCTTTACTCTGCCCTCCACTAATCTTCTGTCTCCCTCGTCATCACTTTTCCTCCCTACTATCAGATTCATTCTGACTCCCCCTTACAGTCACTCCTTTGCATGTTTGCCTCTGCTTACCTGGCGAAACCAATTCTAGTCCAATTTTGTGGCTGTCGACCATCAGCTCTGCTCATATTCCCTGACACACTAGTATTCTGAGCCTTCTCTCCCCTTGGGGCTCCAGCATCTCTTCCCCCTCCTTTCAATTGTCCCTGGAAGACCTGAAATACCCAAAGCAAATGTGGACTGTACTGTGCCTTCCACACCTAGATCTGGCCTGTGCCACCTTGCCTGGACCACCCCCCCCAAACCCTTCTTTCCCCTGGGGTCCTGGGTTAAAGAGCCCTGGTCCTACCAGTTCTGTTTCTCCTCACAGCCATACATTCATAGAGTTGTCTTTGCACTTACCTGCTTGTCCTCATGGCTCACCCATACCACTGACTTAAGGCCAAAACCTTGGAGCACAGTGGGTTCCTTCCCTCAACTGACCCCCACCCACACCATGTCCCCATCTATTTCTTGCCCCAAACCCACTACTCCAACAATCATCTTTGGTGTCCTAACTGACATGTCCCAGTCCACTAGTATATGTGCTCCATGAGACCAGGGTTGTTGCTAGGACAGTGCCTAGCTCATGAGGGGTACCTAGCATATTGAATGAATGAGTTCAGTGTTGACTTAAGCCCAATGTCAGGACCTCCTTGCCTTTGTATCTTGAACAAGGACTCATGACTAGAGTGGCCTTGTGTCCCCATCCCTGGCTGTTGTTTGTGGTGACTGCACCAATTTGTAAGGGTGAATATAGTGCCTCAGTGTGTCCTGGGTGACATGATAGGCCTACAGAGCAAACTTGGGTGAACAATACATTTTTTGGCACTCTTGACATTGTCCTGAATACTCCTTTTTGAGGCCCATGGATTTTGGTCTTTCATGGCTTCATTTCCTGGTAAAATCTCTCATAGAGTTGGCTTAAATTTTCTTTACCACATAGTTCATCAAATTCCCAATTTCCTGTCTCATGTCAGGATAATAAAAATTGTTATGACATCCAATGTTTGGATTGGATCTGTAAAAACTCCAAAATTATGGTTTGTATAAAGATGGAAGAGTAAAAGGAGGCAAGCTGGTTGTGTAGCATTTCTGCACTAGATTCACAGTAAAGTATGGCTTTCTCCCCTCTCTAGTTTGAAAAGAACACAAAATCTGATTTGCTGCTCAAGGAGCTCTATGTGGAAAATGCTCACCTGATGAAAGCACTTCAGATCACTGAAGAAAAGCAACGAGGAGCTGAGAAAAAGAACCGAATCTTGGAAGAAAAAGTTAGCTTTCTCAACAAACTAATCAGTAAGATGACTTCAGCATCCTTCTCTGTATAACCGATTGTTTTTGTGGAATTCATTTTGAAAGAGCATCTTTTAAAATTAAGCCACTATGATGCCATAATTTTCAATGGCTTATTGGCCATATGTGCCTGGACATATGAGGCAGGTGCTGGGGAAATACGACACGTTGGAAAATACTACATTTTTATTAGCAGTCCTGGTAATTTCTTTGTCACTGGTGAAATCAGGTTATGGGGGCTCTCAGCAAAGAACAACTAAAAAAAAATGATGAAGTAAAACAATTTCATATTGTGCTTTGACTTTGGCTGTGAAGATTAAAATACAAAATTAGGGCTCTGTACAGTTTTACCATTCCACTGTTACTGCTTTGGGTTTAAATCATTAGTATTCTCAATGGTGGTTCTATACAAACATTCCAGAAAGGCTTCACTCCCTCTGACTGTCGCCCAGTCGTAAAAGACAAAGGAGTGGAAGTCCCTTTTTCAGGGAACTGCTGTGCCATGGGGACTGTGCTTATGTTAGGTCTGTGGACTCAGGAATAATGAATAAGTTATTTATTGCAAATGCAATCTTTTCCTCATTGAAATGTCATCACACTGGAAATTGTATTATATGTTTAAAAAAAAAGTAGAGTTTTATGCACTGGCTGGGTGGCTCAGTTGGTTGGAGCATCATCCTGTATACCAAAGGGCTTTGGGTTTGATCCCCTGGTCAGGGTACATACCCTAAGCTGTGGGTTCAGTGCCCACTTGGGGCACATACAGAAGGCAACCAATCAATGTTTATCTCTCACAATGACATTTCTCTGTTCCTCTCTAAAATCAGTTAAAGAACCCCCCACATCCTTGGGTGAGGACTTTTTTAAAAAAATACACAAATTTTGATCATTTGGTTTACTGTAATATGAAGACTTACTATTTGCAATAAACTTTACTATTAAAATTGATGTTTTTAATTTTTTAATTATAAAATATTTCAAATATATAGAAAAATAGTTTTATAAGAACCATTCCTGTGTCCATCCACTTGATATACTAAAAACATTCTGCTATATTTTATTATTCTTCTTATAGGAGGCAACTGCTATCCTGAAGCTGCTGTGTTCCATCCCCTTCTACCTGTATATTTACTATTGCTTGTATGAGAAAAACCTTAAAGCACTATGAAAAGACCCAAAGACTGGAATAAGTGTAAAGCTCAGTTCTTGGATAGGAAGACTCAACAACATTAACTGATTAATGTACTATATTCCCAATAAAAATATAAACTACCCCAATCAACCACCTGTCCCAGAACTGGGCAGTTCTAAAGTTTATATGTACAACTAGATAAGCAAATTAAATAATCTGGGGGGAAAAGAGCAATGACTGGGGAATAAGTAATACCAATTATTGAAATAGTAAGTCTCAATATAGTTTGGGTTACATGGATATATACATTTGTCAAAACTCATCAAAGGATACACATCTTCATTCACTTTGGGCTTCTGGCTGGGACTGGAGTAATTAATAAGGAGATTGAATCTAACAGACCTGAACAACACTATCAACCAACTGATGTTTATAGAACCAAACAGTCAACAACAGCAGATGTGCACTTGGAACATTCACCAAACTAGACCATATTCTGGACCTTGAAACAAGTCTCAAAAAATTAAAACAATTTGCGTCATATAGCCCTGCCTGTTATGGCTCAGTGAGTTGAGTGCCAGCCTGTAAACCAAAGGGTCACTGGTTCAATTCCTGGTCTAGGGCACATGCCTGGGTTGCAGGCCGGGTCCGCGCTTGGGGGTATGTGAGAGACAGCCACACCTTGATGTTTCTCTCTTTTCTTTCTCCCCCCGTTCCCCTCTCTAAAAATGAGTAAATAAAATATTTTTAAAAATAAATAAAGCTACTGTTTTGGGTGGTTTGTTTCACAGAACAGATAACTGACAACACTGACAAAGCACTTGCAAACATTCCCCTCTTCCAAAACACTAGAAACCAACATCACTCACAGTTGCAATATTCATCAACAAAATAGAAAATCATACATTACAGTATATTAAAGGGTAAACACACCATGGTCAGGAGTGCAGCTCAGGGAATCCAAATAGTTTTTTTTTTTAATCCTCACCCAATGATATGTTTATTGATTTCAGAGAGAAACATCAATGTGGGAGATACTGATAGGTTGCCTCCCATATGCACCCCAACCAGGGCTTGAACCCACAACCTAGGTATGTGCCCTGACCAGAAATCAAACCTGTAACCTCTTGGTGTATGGGCCAATGCTCCAACCAACCATGCCACCCAGCCAGGGCAGAAACTCAGTTAGTCATACCTTGGTACTTGTTGGCTTCAGAACTTGTCAAACGCTGTATTTGTCACATTTGGACAAGGAAAAAATATTTCAACACTCAGTGCTTGCTTGGGACTTGTCCCACTTGCCAGAACTTGTATGAGTTACAACACCACCTCGCAAGAGAAAATGCTTCATCGTTTGGAACTCGTCCATTTCGGCACTCGTCACAAGTTTCAGAACAAATTAACAATGAATACTGAGATACCACTATAGTTTAATGATAGAATTCTAGTCACATAATTCATAACATTAAGGAGTTAGGTGAGAAACAGTATGGTCATAACACAAGTTCCAAAGGCATACTTGGAAAAACAGTATTTATTAATTACCACTATTTTATTTTAAATTATGGAATTGAATTTATTATGAGGCTTCAAGTTGCACTGAGGGAGGCCACAAGTTTTGGTATTTTTCCTGGAAAAGATTGAGAAAGGAGACTGTGGCTTTCCAATAAAGTCATGAAAAAGATAAGCTGCCACCAATTAGCAGCAGCAGTCAACATTTTCTCAAAGTTCCAGCTCCCCCTGCCCCGCCAAAAAAAATTCTAGATAACAAAATCAATGTGAAAAAGAGGGTTTATACAAATATCAGAATGTTGCCCTAGCTGGTGTGGCTCAGTGGAATTGAGCGCCAGCCTGAGAACCAAAGGGTTGCTGGTTTGATTCCCAGTCAGGGCACATGCCTGGGTTGTGGGCGAGGTCCCTTGTAGGAGGCACATAAGAAGCAACCACACACTGATGTTTCTCTCCCTGTCTTTCTCCCTCCCTTTCCCTCTGTCTAAAAATAAACAAATAATATCTTTAAAAAAAATGTTTTAAAAAAATGTCAGAATGTGACCAAGTCATCATAATTTGCAACTTTTGTACATATATCAGCCAAAGCCAGTCAGATAATAGAAAAAAGAATTCACACTAGCAACAAAAAGTAGAAAATAATTGGAAAACCACTAAAAAGAAATGGTATTATACTTTACATATGTAACTAGCTACAGTGAATGCGTCAGACTGTGGTATTTAGGAAATGAAATAATTTTCTACATTATTTATTTTTTACCTTTTTTTTTTAAATCTACACATATACGAGTATTACCTTCAAAATTCTAGCCACAATTCTAAGTAGAGTCAATATAAATTGATAAAACCTCTAAAGTTTCAAATTTTCAACTACTATACATTCATTCCAAATAAGGGATATATTTTACCATTTTATTTGGGGACTTAAACACAAAAGAATATATTCTTATCATTTAAGTTCAAGAATGATGGAGGGCTGGCAACATGGTAATGGCCTTCAAAGCTCTTTATCCTCACAGCTGACTCACATGGACTTTAGGGTTCACCAGTGTGCATGGTTCCATGTGCCCTGAGTGTAACTATATGAAGGAGGAAAGTGACTGCAGACCCACAGTTAACGTTATCAACATCACCAGCCCCATTCACTGTTTATCAGCAGAGGTATAGATGAAAATATGGGCTGGCTACCAAAATTAAGGGGAGGAATCATTTTCAATAATGAAAGTAATCTGCACAGGGCAGCCTACTGACCTAAGTAGGTCTATTATGAAAACACACAGTTCCACATCCTAGGCAAAGCCTCTCTATAACTTGATTTTGGCCAGAAACATTCCCCTATATAAAAACAAAACTGCATGTATAATATGTATTAGGTACCAGACTTATCCAGTCTTTTACATTTGAATGTCTCTTTCTGATTACTGGGCTGGTAATGAAGGGGACTACTAGTAGGGAAAGGCCACAGTGACTACCAGGCAGGACCACTCCTGTGCCTCTCCAACTCTTACCATCCATAGTTTCATCAGACAACAGAAACTGCACTCCACTTAGCCAACCAACTCTTCATGTGACTTTTCAAAATGTCAGTGGGAATCTGGGAGAAAACTGTACAAAGTTTCTTTTCTAGCTCCAATTTCTATTTCCCATTCCAAAGTGGTGATACTGGTGCTCACCCTACAATCTCACAGACAGACATGAGCCAGACCAGCCACCACTGTTGGAAATGGGCTAATTCATTGTGTCCTTCCTTTTTCCTTCCCAAATAGCCCAGCAATTGTCATTAAACATTACATATACTGAATACTTTTATAGACCATCTCCACTTGGCCATGTGATTTGGTAACACCCATTCCAGAAATTCAGCTCCCTGGGTTACACAATGCACACTACCAGAAACAACACAAAAGGCACAGGGACCTACTTTCTCCCCTCAACAGCCAAGTGTAACTTTCTTATTTAAAGGATTCAAATGTATGGTAATAAATATTTACTTTCATCCAAAACACATACATACGTTATAGTAACTGTAGGAATGTTATAATTAAAGATGCAGATTACAAAAAGGAGGAAGAATGTTATATAGTAGAAAAACAAACCATTTTCAGCCAAGTATTCCTGGTTATATGAAAGGATGTCTGTAACCTTTAAAACCAAAGATGGGAGGGGTTAAGGGAGGGTGGAGAAGGAAGTGCAGAAGTTTGTGTGAAGGAGTTCAGCCTCATACCACAGGGAAGCTTGGCAGGGCCTCAGTATGAGGTTACCACAGGACGTGCTCCAGAACGCCTTGTCTAATCAGCTGCTCACACTTCCACCGAGGTAGAAAGTGCTGAGTGGAACAGATGGTGGAGAGAAAGAGAAATGATTGGAATATAATTTTAAATTATATTTTACATCATTAAAAAGCAGCAATTGGTTATATATTCTTCAAGTTCCAACAGTTACACAGTTAAAAGCTAAACTTATTTTGTTTGATTTTGTTTTCATCAACTGAAACTGATATGAGAGGATACTGCTTCATTGTGAAGTGGAAAGGAGTCTCCTTGTCTGATTGCCTGTCAACACACAGGGGCTTAAAACAGAAGTGAACATTTCCTAAACTTTGGAGTGAGGAAGTACAGGAAGCAAGGGAGGAAGACTTCCGAGCTCATGGATGACCAAAGTAATCTCAAAGAAAAGAAAGATATACTTGGGTAAAAACAAAAAACAGTACATTATAAAGTACAGAGCAAATAGCCTTAGAAAATAATTGCAATAGAAGAGATTACCAAAAATATTAAAGAAGCAAAATGTAACTTTAGTAGCATTGTGCACCTAAAGGTCCCTCCTCACAAACTCAAAGGCCGTATGTGATTCCCGTAACCAAATAAATGACTCCAAATTAGTCATGAAAACACATTGGCCAAGGATTATTATCTAACATGTTTAAAAGTCTTCAGAATGTATAATATAAAAAAAGGGGCCCACCACAACCTACCACCACCACCACCCTAAGAGAAAAAAAGGGGGACATATTGACTGACTTATTTAAATTATTTCAATTTTTTCTAAAAAGAGGGGTTTCCTGATTTCTAGACAAACATGTTTGCCATATTGTAGGCATAAGTGAATATATGATAAAAAAAAAAATGTCTCCCTATAACAGTTTTATAGTACATGGACAGATTCCATAGAAAACTGATTTTAGATGTGGTGAGACATTTGTAGAGGCCCTCGAATATCAACTATAATAGATTTTATGTTTTTAAAATTTTTCCATTTTTATAATGAAGAGTAGGGTGACAGTAACAAAAAGCATCACCAATGGAACGAATGTCACCCCAGTACATTCAATTAAAAAAATAAAGTAAAATAACTCTTGCCAAGAAAAGCATCACCAAGGGGAAGGCTTCTGCATGGTCCACCTGGAAAACAACTGTCTAACACAGAAGCAGATGGAAGAAGGGCTCAGCTGGGTTCCCACTTACCACAGCTCTACCTAGGTATTCCCTGCCACTGAGGAATTACGACCATATGGACACACTGGATGGGAAGATCAGCCATAAAGTTTAAGAAAAAATTTCAACCACAGGATGGTGTTTAGGAAAAAGTGACATTTTCTCACATCTTGCTTTATGAGGATAGCTTCATTCTTGTGAACGAAAGCTTTCTACTGGGTCCTCCAGAAATACAGATTTTTAGGACAGCATTCATTTCAGTAATATTAATTCATTAGTATTATTCAATTCATTAGTATCCTACTTTTCAAAGAGGACACTGGGGCGGCAATGGGAGGGGCGGATTTTGACATAACAAAAAGATTTTAGGATACCCTGAAAATCTGTTTTAGGAAACTACTCAAAGCTCTAAGAGTGTTTGTACACTAAGAGATCAAGGCACCCTCTCTTAAGAAAGTTAGTCCAAGAACCACATAACCTGGAGCATTCTTTTGTTCCATACCATAAACAAAGGCTATCAACTAACTAGTTGATAGCAAGATGGGAGGCAAAGAAAGAAACAGTGGTTCTCATTAGGTCGTTTGTTATCCTGTATTAACGCAACTACATAAAATTGAAATAGAATAAAAATTAATTTAGCTAATGTGAAATTAATGTGAACTTGAGAAGGTTTCTCAGGAAGCAATAAATACATTGAGATTCTTAGTAAGAAAAAATTTGGTTTAAGTAACAACTTCATAGTTTTAGTCTTTCCATAGTAAATTCTCTTAATATATTACTCAGAAACTTTTGATTTTTATCATTATTTGTTTGCTAAAGAACTAAGATTCATAAGGTGAAATAAAAGCTAAAAATGAATGTTTATCACCTTTTTAATTATATTTCAAAGAAAAAGGCTAAATCCAACATTTTCATAGTGCCTTAACTACAATCAGGCCCACTCTGATAATTTACCTAGAAAATGCTTAAGTGTTATATACAAGCAATATTCTATTAATTTGTTTCTTAATATGCATATATGTAACATTTACCTCAACATTTCCTTATATTTAGAAAAAGTAGTCTTACACTAAACATAATGCCTATATATAAATGAACATCACAAGGTAATGTTTGCTATTAATTTCAACATTTCTACCATGCAACGCTCTTACAAGGTTTAAAAAATCTTAAGACAATAAATACCTGGCTATTTTTTTTTAATAGCACTGATGTACCATCATCAACTTCGAATTCTCCAAAGTCTTTTAAACATCGTACCTGAAAGGAAAACATGTTTTATCTAAATTATTTCTTAATAGGTAGTGACCACAAAGTAAATAAAGATTATACAATATAAATACCCACACAGTAAAAGTAATAAGCTTTCTGTTTGTTTCTTCTCTGTGTACTTAGTCCTACTACTCCTACTGTGGTATTCTAGTAGTTCCAATTGTCCTGTTTGATGGGGAGGAAGAATGACAAAATATCTGAGTGTATGGGTGTGCTAACAGCAAGGAAACTCAGGGATGCCAAGGGGAGACATCACTGCATTCTTTCCTTTCTGTAAATACTTAAGTATCTAGCAGTGGAATTATGTATTTACAAAAAAAAAAAGAGAATTTTTTAGATCAATTCCAACCTGCCTCTTATAGATCCCTCCCTTGAATATCAATATCTGAGAATAGAACATAGGTAAGTCTGCAAAACTTCTGTTTTAAAAAGATTTTTCCAATCTCCTTTGATATTCAGTCTCTTCCTCAAGACTACTTAAAACTAAATCATGAAAGAGCAGATGCAGATTCACATTATAAGAATCAGGAAAGGTTCTTAGTCAGAAAGTGGGAGGCATAAGAATGCCTTTTGGTAACCACTTCTACAACTGCACAGGAGTGTCCCTGGAGAGCTTACAGACCTGGCCACAGTTCCATCGGCTGCCACAGGACACCGGGACATTTTTTCGTCTTCTATGAGAACTCAGGACTGGAGTTTAATTCTCCTTAGTACTAGGATTTGTATTAGTAAAGCCAATGCCAGCAGTAAGTTTCAGGCATCTATTTTTCCAAGGTAATTTTGTCATGTCCTATTATTCCTCCGAAATCTTACCACAGGTATTTTTTTATTACTGTTATTATATTTTTAATTTCTCTTTTAAATCATGTTTATTCTATTACAGTTGTCTCAATTTTTACCCCTTTGCCCCCCATACTACCCCACCCCCCTTTTCCCACAGTCAATTCCCACTCTGTTGTTTATGTCCATGGGTCATTCACACGTTCTTTGTTTAGTTCCTTCTTCTTTCCTCCACTGTCCTCCTTCCCTATACCCTTTGGTCACTTTTAGTCTGCTCCATGTTTCCTTCCCTGTGGTTTATTTTGTTTGTTAGTTTACTTTGTTGAATAGATTCCACTTATAGGTGAGATCATATGGTATTTGTCTTTCACCAACTGGCTTATTTCATTTAGCATAATATTCTCCAGTTCCATCCATAATGTCACAAAGGGTAGGAATTCCTTCCTTTTTTTATTTAAGTGCAGATTTTATTTAGTTATTTACATGTCAAGATGCACTATAAAATACTAAAAAATTTAAATCCATTATAAAGTCTCAGCAACTAAAACAACATGACACCAGCACAGAAATAATCAAGTAGATCAATGAAATAAATTGAGCATTCTAGAAACAAACATATATATCTAACAATGTAATAGATGATTAAATTGATATTTCAGATCAATGGGGAACATAAGGCTTATTAACAAATAAGGAGCATGGACCACTATTACTTGAACTAAAACAAATATAGAGCCCTATTACACACATTATACAAAAAATATTCAGGTGAGTTAAAAATCAGTATGTAAAATATAAGAAGTCTTAGGAGAAAACACAAAATAGTATTTTTCTTACCCTGTAGTAACATATTCAAACCCAGAAGCTATAAAGTAAGATCTTGAAAATATGACTATATTAAACATTTAAGACTATACAGTACTGTATATATAAAAGAAGTTAAAGGGCAAGTAATAGAACAGGAAAGTATTTGCAAGACATCTAAAAAACAGTTAATAGTTTTCTTAGTTTTTTTTTTTGGGAGGGGGGAATTCTACAAACATTTAATGAAAATGGATAAAGAATACCCAAAGTCATTGAAAGCTTTTTTAAAAATAATAGAAATAGGCAAGAAATATACAAAAACAGGTTTAGTTTCAACAAATAATAAAGGGACAATTAAAATAGCACATCACTGTCACCATCAGATTAATAAGTATTAAAAATATTGGTAATATCAAGTATTTGTGACTGTGAAAGGAACTGGGTATTCATAGACTCTTTCTCTTCATCATCTTAAAACAGTCCCTTTAGCATATTTTGCATATTTGTCTGGGAAACTCCTTATTTTGCCTTCCATTTTAATTGAGAGCCTTGCTGGGTAGAGCAGTCTTGGTTGCAGGCCTTTGCTTTTCATTACTTGGAATATTTCTTGCCATTCCCTTCTGGCTTGCAGTGTTTCTGTTGAGACGTCACCTGCTAGCTGTATCAGGGCTGCCTTCTATGTTATTGCCTCTTTCTCCCTTGCTTCCCTTAGGATTCTCTGTTTGTCTTTGATATTTGCCATTTTATTGATGATGTGTCCTGGAGTGGGCTTCATTGGGTTCCTCTTGAATGAGACCCTCTGTGCTTCCTGGACTTGTGTGGCTTTTTCTCTCCTCCAATTAGGGAAGTTTTCCATCATTACTTTTTCACACAGGTTCTCTATCCCTTCCTCATCCTCTTCTCCTCCTGGTATCCCTATTATTCGGATATTATTACATTTCACGTTATCCTGCATTTCCCTAAGTGCCTCTTCATTCTTTTTGAGTCTTTTTTCCTTTTCTTGCTCTTTCTGGGAGCTTTTTCCTACCTTATCCTCCAGCTTACTGATTTGTTCCTCTTCCTCATATAGTCTGCTTTGGATCTCTTGTACTGTGTTCTTCAACTCAGAAATTGTATTCTTCCTTTCCTCTTGTCTCTTATTGATAGTTTCTATGTCTTTTTTTCATGCTGATATAGTTTGCAGTAAGTTCCTTGTAGTTTCCCTGTAGTTTTCTGTAATTCTCTCTGAGCTCACTGAGCACATTGAGCTTCCTTAGAACCGTGGTTTGGAACTCATTATCTTATAGTTTACTTGCCTCTACTTCATTTAGTTTTCTTTCCGGGAATTCCTCCTTTCTCCTCAAGTGGGGGATGTTGATTTGTCTTCCCATTACTTGTGAGACTCTTTTTTTTTGCTTCTGCTTCTTAAGTTGATGTGTCTTGACTTCCTGACTTTGTGGTGTGAACTTCTATGGTAGGAGACTGCTGTTTTTTTTCTTCCTAGATCTGCATCTAATGACCTCAGATGTTGTCCCTGTAGGACATTAGGCAGTCTGTTCGAGACTTCCAGGAATCTACTGCCTGTGGCTGTCTCCTTCAGCTGTTTATCTAGTCTAAGCAGGCAGGCTTAGAGACACCATAGGGCAGGGCAGTCACTTCTTGGGGCAGCATTATTGGGTCCTATCAGGCTGCTGCCACTCAGAGGAGTGGTCTGCCTGAGCCAGGTGGAAACTGCGGAATGTGGGAGGAGTCAGCACCAGGATTCCACTGGCTGCTCTTTCCATTCTCTCCCTAAAACCACTGTCTCCAGTCTCTCCCCAAGTGTCTCTAGACCACTCTGCACCCCCTTTAGCCAAGGATCTACTATCTGTGGCTGTCACTCTATACTCAGCGATCAGGCTTTAGCACTACTGGGCCAGGGCCAAGTCCCTCCTGGGGACGAGGCTGTTGTGTCCAGCCCACTCTGCTCTTGCCTTTGCTGGAGACCAGGGTAAGTGGCTGGAAAGAAAAATGTATTCATTTGCCCTTTAAATGGCTCTTGCATCTTCAGCTGCCTATCTCTGGCAGAGAGCAACCCAGCTGCTTTTCACAGCTGGCTGATGATCTGTGTAGTTTTGGGGCCCTGGTGCTGTAGGCTGGAAATCCCCACTTATGGTTTAGACCCCGCTCTTCTCAGGGTGATCCGACTGGCCATTTCAACACCCTTCTGGTACTGCTGCCCATGGATTCCCCACCTGCCTTCTTGAGTCTCTACCACACTCCTTAGCAGTTAGGTTGTGCTAAAGCTGGTTCTTCTCCCTATCTGAGGTTATAAGGCTCCTCTCTCACAGTTGGTCAATTGTTTGTTCCAGATGATTTCTCCACAATTTAGTTGTAATTTCAGGTTGGTTCTGGGAGGAGGTCAGTGTGACTTCCACTCACTCCTCCACCATCTTGATTCTCTCTCCACAAGGTATTTTAAGTTAGTTTGAGAAGTACTATTTTAAAAAATTCCCTACCATCACTAACACCTTTTTACTTTTTAAAATATATTATGGAAAATCATTAACATATTCAAATGTAAAAAGAAATACCATGAAACTCAATGTGCTATCAACTAGCATCAATTATCAGCATCAGGCCCATCTTGTTCCCTCACCAACTTCTAGATTTTAAAGCAAATCCTAGACATAATTTAATTTCATCTATAAATATCTTATTATCTATTTCTACAAAATGAGATTCTTTTTCAAAAATACAATCTCTATACCATTATGACATCTTATTAGGAATTTTTAAGTCATGAATATCCAGTTAGGCAATAGTGGCGTAGGTAAACACAGCTTACTTTCTTGCACAACCACATCAAAATTACAATGAACCTAAATAAAACCCATCATTCAGAACTGTCAGAAATTGAGCTGAATGAAAGTCCTACAAATATGGGATTATAGAAGAAACCACTTTGAGACTGGTAGGACAGGCGGAGACACAGAATAGACTGGTCAACCCCGACATGTGGTGGATAGAAATCAGGAGGGATATCTCAGGAGCAAAGGGTCCCAGCCCCACACCAGGACCCACAGCTCAGGGTTCCAATGCCAGGAAGATAAGTCTCCATAACTTCTGGCTGTAAATACCAGCAGGAGTTAAGGCTGTAGAAGACAGAAACTGATGGACTCACTGGCAGTTCCTCTTGAACGGCCACTGCATAGACTTACTCAGACTTACCCCCTCTGAGCTCCAGTGTAGGGGCAGCAGATATATATGGGGAAGAACTAAAATTTCCAGCATCAAGGCAAGAGCTGGGGGACAGCTTTCTACCAGAGAGAAGTGATGGCAGAGGTCATTATTCCTTTTCTGAACACCCCCTCCCAGAACTGGCGGGGGCGGGGGGCAACATATCTAAAGCACCATCAACGTGTTGTTTGCCCCACCCTGTTGACTCCCTGGGGCCATGCTCCACCCAAATTTCAGGCTCATTTAAGATGTTTCCAGTGGTTTTTTCATATGAATGGCTTGTTTTGGCCCATGTTTCAGATTGTTCTAAATTCTCTCAAACAAGCAACATCTGGCTTCAGCAAGCCCTGAACTTCTTGCTTAGTTGTCCCAGGCCTGGCACCAGCAGCAGACCACCTTGCATCTCCCAGCCCAGCACAAGAGGCAGCCATCTGTAGATCATTTTGTAGCTAATGCTGTGTGACCCCAGACAGAACACAGGCAGTGGCTGACCTTGGATATGCCAACAGGAACCGAGGCTCAACTATAACTTGAGGGCGTACACGGCCCACACAGTGGATGTATCTTGAGTACCCAGCTTGGGTAATAGGGGAAGCTGTGCCACTGGACCCTACAGGATACCTACTATTGTAAGGCACTCTATCAAGCCTGGGAGACACAGTAGCTCTACCTAATACATTAAAACAAACACAGGGAAGCTGCCAAAATGAGGAGACAAAGAAACATGGCCCAAATGAAAGAAAAGAGCAAAACTCCAGGGAAAAAAATGAACAAAATGGAAATAAGCAATCTATCAGATGCAGAGTTAAAAACACTGGTTATAAGGACGCTCAAGGAACTCTGTGAGGATCTCAACAGAGTAAAAAAGTTCCAGTCAAAAATGAAGGATACATTAACTGAAATAAAGAACAATTGGCAGGGAATCAACAGTAGAGTGGATGAAGCAGAGAATAAAATCAGCAATTTGAAACATAAGGAAGCAAAAAACAATCAATCAGAACAAAAAGAAAGAACCCAAAAAAATAAAAATTAAGATAGTGTAAAACCCTCTGGGATAACTTCAAGCATACCAACATCTTAGGGGGTTCCAGAATAAGAGAAAGAACAAGAAATTAGAAATCTATTTGAAAAAATAATGAAAGAAAAGTTCTCTCATTTTGTGAAGGAAATAGACAAGTCCAGGAAGCACAGAATCCTAAAAAGGATGGACCCAAACAGGCCCACTGCAAGAGACATCGTAATTAAAATGCCAAAGGTTAAACAGAAAGAAAGAATCTTAAAAGCAGCAAGAGAAGAGTTAGTTATGTACAAGGGAGCCCCCAAAATACTGTCAGCTGATTTCTCAAAAGAAACTTTGCAGGCTAGAAGGGATTGGCAAGAGGTAAATCAAACTGATGGAATGCAAGGACCTAATAAACCAAGATTACTCTACCCAGCAAAGCTATCCAATGATAAAGAGCTTCCTAGAGAAGAAAAAGCTAAAGGAGTTTATCATCACCAAATCAGTATTATATGAAATTAATTGTAAAGAGTCTTTTTTAAGATCAAAATTATGAATAAAATGGCAATAAATACATATCTATCACCAATTGAACCTAAAAACAAAATAAACAAATGAGAAGAACAGAAACAGAATCATAGATACAGAGAACATTTTGATGGTTGCCAGATGGGAGGAGGTCAGGGAGATGGATCAAAAAGGTGAAGGAATTAAGAAGTACAAATTGTTAATTACAGAATAGTAATAGGGATGTAAAGAACAGCTTAGGGAATTGAATAGCCAAAGAAATATATGCAGGACCCATGGACATGGACAACAGTGTGGGGACTGCCTGAGGGAGTGGGGGGAAGTGTGGTGGTGGCTGGGTGGAGGTGGACAATGGGGGAAAATTTGGGACAACTGCAGTAGCATGAACAATAAAATATAATTCAAAAAATAAAAATAAAGAGGCATTGACCAGGAGAAAGAAAGAAAGAAAGAAAGAAAGAAAGAAAGAAAGAAAGAAAGAAAGAAAGAAAGAAAGAAAGAAAGGAGAAAGACCGAGTTTGTTTACAAATTTCCCCATTTATAAGTTTTTTTTAAATGTCACGTTCAAATTAGGGTCCAACAAAAGCTGCACATTACACATTTCTGATATTCCTCTCCTTCAATCTATAGGGTTTCTTCCTCCTTTTTCCCTTTATTCTTGACAATTTATTAAAGACACTGAGCAGTTTGTTTTGCAATTTCCCATAAATCAGATTCCTGTGGAGTCATTTAACACGTTTCCCTTCCTGCCCCTGAATTTCCTATAAACTGGAGGTTAGGTCTAGAGGCTGGATCAGACTGGTCTTCTGGCAAACGTGTTACATATGTCCTCTTGCAAGACCACACAAACCACAGAATGTCTGTCCCTTTTTGGATGTGTGGACCCCAAGAAGATAGATTTATCTGATGCCCCAGAAAAGGAAATTATTTGCTGAGATGGACTCCCCATGACTAAGCGAGCGCCCCAATTTTATAAACATGGAGTGCGCAGAAGTAGGTTTATAGTTGTTCATGTGAAATATAATAATTAATAATAATAAAAGAATTATTGTTTCATGTACACACAACTATAAAGCTACTTTTGCCCATATCAGTAATAAGATCTTAGTGGCCATTTACTGACAGGGACTTCTTCTCACATACTCTGTATACCAGAAAGAACCTGAGACTGAACTCTCCACTTCATGCACTATGCCACACTTGTTTACACTATCTGAGTTAACCACTGCAGGGATGCCCTGGTAGACCTGCCCTGTCCAATTAGAACTATGAAAATTATAACTTCATTTATATGTAAACTGTACAATTTGGAAACCTCATTTACATTAAACAAACCAAAATGGGTTCAATGCAAGAAAGTTCTCTACAAAGCAAGAAAGTTCCTTTGTCTGAGTGGGGCAATACTATGTTTCTGCTACAGGCTGCCTCTCCCTGGTTTGCAAACTATTACCTCAATAAAGTCTCTCCTTTTTCACCCCTGTGCCCTTTGAATTTGTTTACAGATGTTAAGATTAATCAGTGGCTCCAGGTATTATCCATAGCTATCCATATCCATCCATTATTAAGGTCTCCACTGACTTTTCACTTAAGGTTTTAGTAACTATTTCCCTCCATGCTTTAGGGTTACAGAATACCATTAATCAAGTTTTTTTTATTCTTGCTGCATGTATTAGTGGAATTCCTCTATAAAGAAATTTTCCTTGTAAGTAATTTGGCTACACTGAGCTAGAATTTATATAGTACAGGCAGATGGATGCTTGATTCCATTCTTTTATTTGTTGCTTTTCAAAATGGCTTGCATCCCTTAAGCAAGGTGACCCAAAGAGATTTTTTTTTTTAATTGTTGTAATTGTTGTTTGGTATCATTATGCATTCACACTTCTAACATAATTCATGCGACTCAATTCACTGCCATTATCATTTTCATGCTCAAATGACCTCTTCTTTGGCCAGTGTGAGTTCCTTCCAATTAGTTCCCATGACTCTGGGCACTCATGTAGTCCTTGATACTTTCCTTGCTTTCTAGAAAGACAAGGCATTCCATCCATGCTTACCTTGTAAATTTTTACTTGAGATCAAGAATCAGCCCCCCTCCCCTTTTTTCCCCCAAGGAGTTTCCCCCTGGTTTCCTTTAGTGAGAAACGGCATTTCGACTCCAGAATTTGGAAGCTCACAGCTACTGAGTTGGTTGCTGTTCCTAGGCTTTTTATTAGTGCACAGAGCTAAGAAATAAAAAAAAAAAAAAAAAGAGAGAGAGACACACACACACACACACACACACACACACACACACAATTCAACCCGACTCCATGCTGATATTTCAAACTCAAGTTTGGGAATTACTATTCAACTTTCTTTTCTCTTATTTTGAAAATTTTGGTTCCTAGTACCATACTCTTTTGCTCTATTCTTCCATATATATACTATCCGCTACAACAGTAACAATATTATTACTAAAAATATGACTACAAAAAATAGGTTAAGATCTGTAATTTTTTTCATTCCTAAAACATACCCACTAGTAATATATAATCAACTTATGTGTTTTAAAGTAATTTAAAATAATTCTAATTTGACTAATCCACCAATTTAAAACATAGGCTCATTTGTTTCATTTTGCTGTCAAAATCTGTGGTTGGTTTTCTACTTTGATTTAATAACATAAAATGTTTACATGGTTCCAAAATCAAAACTACTAAACAGGTCTATTCAGAAAATTTTAGTTTCTCTATCCTATTCCCATCATCCCCCTATAGGTAACATTTTTGGTTTTATTTTCCCCTTTCTTTTTTAATATAAGCTAATATATATTCATATATCCCTTAGACAAAAGGCAGCACAATCTATGCATTAAGGAAAAATTCATTTTAAGAGGTATACTTACTTCAATATATAGGCTTTTGGGAGGTTTCATATCCTGTGTAATATCCAAACCTTCATCTCCTCCCAATGACCTCATATAAGTAGCAAGGGATTTTTTATAATGATTAAACCATTCCATCTGCAAACATAAAGATGGTCATTTGACAAGAAGTTTTAACAAACTTACATAAGTTGTATACTCATCTTTTCTAAAACAGCACATATTCCCACATGGACCATTGTTATGATCATTCATTCATTTAAACTATAGGCACAGTTCATTTTATTACACTTCACAAACATTGCATTTTTTATAAATCAAAGGTTTGTGGCAGCCCTGCATGGAGAAAGTCTATTGGCACTATTTTCCCAAAAGCATTTTCTGTGTCACATTTTGGTAATTCTCACAGTATTTCAAACTTTTTATTATTATGTTCATTATGGTGATCTGTGATGAGTGACCTTTGTTGTTATTATTATAATTGTTTTGGGGGGGTGCCATGAACCATACCCATAATAGGATGGCAAACTTAATTGATCAATGTTGTGTGTGTTCTGAGTGCTCCATCAACTTGCTGTTCCCATGTCTCCCTCCCACTCTTTAGGCCTCCTTATTCCTTAAGACATTACAATATTGAAATTGGGCCGATTAAAACCTTACAATGGCCTCTCATCTTTCACTTTAAATCAGAAAGTAAAAAAGTTATTAAGCTCACTAAGGAAGGCATATCAAAAGCTGAAACAGGACAAAAGCTAGGCCCCTTGTACTAGTTAGCTAAGTTGTGAATGCAAAAAAAAAAAAAAAAAGAAAAAAGAAAAAGTTCTGAAGGCAATTAAAAGTGCTACTCTAACGAACACACAAATCATAAGAAAGTGGGACAGCCTAATTGCTGACATGAAGAAAGTTTTAGTAGTCTGGATAGAAGATCAACATTCCCTTAAGCCAAAGCACATCCAGAACAAGTCCCTAACTCTTTAATTCTGTGAAGGTATTATTTCCAGTTGCTCAGGACGTGGGAGAAACACATCCACCATCTTCCCTGAAGTCTGAAAGACACTAGCCATGAGAGATCCCAGAGTCCCATCCGCTGATCCCACCATAAGCTCTCTCAGAAACAGTCAGGTCTGCGACTTGTTTAAAACTGACAGCAGGCTGGCAGTCAGAGGCAGACAGATGCAGATCCGCTGGTGACTTGGGTTGTCTGCTGATATACCCCTGGACCCAGTGCTGTTAAAACCCAGGTGTGCAGAGTAGATTGGCCCATCCTGGGCACAGCCAACCTTGGAGTAATCAGTCATAAACTGTGAATCCCTGATAGCTCCAAAAAGGTAGCCGAGGGCTAGATATGAATAGGACCTGACTCAAGCTACAGCAGAGCTGTATTCAAAAACAGAATCCAGGAGGCAAGCATGAAACTCTGCTGAGACAAATTCCATTTTGTTCTTTTTCATTTTTCTTTCCTTTTCATAGCATTTTCATTAGTTTTTTCTATTTTTTTCTTTTCTATTTTTATTGCTCTATTTTTCTGTCATATTTCTTACTTTATACTCTTACCAGCGATTACCCCACTTTCCCTTCTTTCCAGCTATTTTTGTTATTCTCCCTCTTTTGTTGTCTCTTTTTTACTTTCTTCTTTAGTTCATTATTCCTATTAGTTCTTCACCCTTTCTCCCTCCCGTAATTACTTCTCTGTCCCTTGGTGTTGTCTTATTCTTTTCCTTTTATTTCCCCCTTTCTCTAATATTCCATTTATATTTTCACTTTTACTCTTCTCTGACATTTTGTCATCGAAATTGCTGTTGTGACTGGGGGATAGGGTGGGGATTTCTTGTTTTGGTTTCGTTTTTTGTGTTCTTTTGATTTGTACTGCCAGCAGCTGTACAACATACAAGACATGGTGCAGGTCAAGCCTCTCAGTCAGGCAGCCGTAAGAGAAAACCCACCAATGAACAAGCCAACAACAATCAGGACAAAATACAACAGGGACAGCCTACATAACTCACACAAAGGGCATTCCTAGAGCATCCAGATCAGGAGATCAAGGAGTTGACACCAGTGGGTAACACAGTACTCGCATCACATAAGGCTACCCCACAAGACAGAGTCATAGCAGATCTGTTTATAACATAGAAACAAATAAAAAGAAATGGCTAAAATGAGGAGACAAAGAAACGACCTCCAAATGAAAGAAAAGGAGGAATTCCCAATAAAAGAGCTAACTGAAATAGAAACAAGTAAATGATCCAGCACTGAGTTCCAAGTAATGGTTACAAGAATGCTCAAGGAACTTAGTGAAAACCACAAGGAACTGCCCTGGCTCTTGTGGCTCAGTGAATTGAGTGCCAGCCTGTGAACCAAATGGCTGCCAGTTTGATTGCTGGTCAGGACACATGCCTAGGTTGTGGGTCAGGTCCCCAACACGGGCTGTATGAGAGGCAACTACACTTTGATGCTTCTCTCCCTCTCTGCCTTCCTCCCCCTGTGTCTAAAAATAAATAAAATCTTTAAAAACAAAAAACACCCAGTAAGAGTAACAAAATAAAAAAAAAGCTTAAAAAGGAGAAAAGTTTAAGGGAGCTTTGAAACAACAAGAAATGTAACAATATTCACATTGCAAGAATACCAGAAGGAGAAGAAAGGACAGAGAATAGAAAACTTGTATGAAGAAATAATGACAGAAAAGTTCTTTAACTTGGTGAAGGAAAAAAGTACACAAGTTCAGGAAGTACAGAGTCCCAAACAAGTGAATCCAAAGAGGTCTACACAAAGACACATCACAATTAAAATGGCAAAGTATAAAAACAAAGAATCTTAATGCCAGCTAAGAGAAACAATTAGTTTCCTACAAGGGAGCGCCAATAGGGCTGTCAGGTTATTTCTCAGCAAACAATACAGGCCAGAAGGAATGGACATGAAATATTCCAAGTATGAAAAGGAAGGACCTGAAACCAAGACTACTCTATCCAGCAAGGGTCTCATTAAAAATGGAAGTTGAAATAAAGAGCTAATTGGAACAAAATAAAACAAAAAGGAGGGGCTGAAGGAATGCATTTCCATCAAACCAGCAGTACAAGAGATGCTAAAGGGGCTGCCTTAAGGAAAAGAATAGAGAGAGGAACACAGGTTAAAGGGGAAAAATGGCAGTGAGTAAACATCTATCAATAAAACATTAAATGTAAATGGATTAAATGCCCCTATCAAAAGACATAGGGTAGCTGCATGAACAAGTAGACGAAACCCACATATATGCTGTCTACTAGAGACCCACCTCAGAACAAAAGATTTCCACAGGCTGAAAAATGAAGGAATGGAAAAAAAGATTCCATGCTAATGGATATGGAAAAAAAGCTGGGGTAGGCAGTACTTCTGCCTAACAAATAGACTTCAAAACAAAGTCCATAATAAGAAACAAAGAGGGACACTACATGATAGTTAAGGGAATCCAGCAAGAGAATATAACCCTTATAAACATATATACACCCAATATAGGAGCACCTGAATATAAAAAGAACATCTGGGAGGACTTTAAGAAAGAGACCTACAGCAATGCAGTCATAGTAGGGGATTTTAACACCCCACTCTCAACAGCAGACACATTTTCAAGACGAAAAATCAACAAGGATATAGCAGCATTAAATGCCACACTAGATCAAAAGAATTTAATTGATATCTATACAACATTTCACCTCAAAGAAGCAAAATACACAATCTTATATATACATTGATTGCTCTCAAAGATAAACCACATGGTAGGACACAAAACAAGCCATAACAAATTGAAGAAAACTGAAATCACATCAAGCATTTACTCAGATCACAATGGCCTAAAACTATAAATTAATCACAAGAAAAAAACCCCAAAAACATGGAGGGTAAATAACATGGTATTAAATAATGTTGCATTAACAATGACATCATAGAAGAAATCAAAAGAACCTGGAAACAAAAGAAAATGAACAGACTTTCAGTGAAGATGGAGGCATAGGTAGACATGCTTTGTTTGCTTCCTCACACAACCAAAGAAGTACAACAAAAAATTTAAAAATAAAAAATAACCAGAACTGCCTGAAAATCAAACTGTATGGAAGTCCAACAACCAAGGGGTTAAAGAAGAATCATTCATCCACTCTGGTAGGAAGGACAGAGATGGGCAGCTGGGGTGGAGAGGACGCTCGGCAAGGCAGTGGACCAGTTGGGTGAGGTGGCAGCTGGCAGACCTGGCAGCCCCATATTTGCATGCAGATAAGCCGGAAGGAACAACAGGGGACAAGACAGACCCGTGCAACCCAGGATTCCAACTCAGGGAAACTAAAGTTTCAAAACCTCTGGCTGTAAAAACCTGTGGGTGTTGCAGCAGTGGGAGAAACTCCCAGTCTCACAAGAGAGTTTGTTGGAGAGAACCATGAGGTCCTAGAATGTACACAAACCCACCTACTCAGGAATCAGCACCTGAAAGTGCCAAGTTTGCTTATGGGTAGTAGGGGAATTGACTGAAAGTGGGGTGAGAGCCAAGCAAGGGGCATTGTTCCCTCTTGGATCCCTCCCCCACAGAGAGCAACACCAACAGAGCAAGGCAGGTTGCCCCACACTGGGGAATACCTAAGGTTCTGCCCCTTACAACATAACAGCTGTCCCGAGAAAAAGAACTATAGCCCAAATGAAAGAACAGAACAAATCACCAAAAACAGAACTAAGCCACAAAGAGATAGCCAACCTATCAGATGCAGAGTTCAAAACACTGGTAATCAGGATGCTCACAGAATTGGTTGAGTATGATCGAAAAAGAGAGGAAAGAACGAAGGCCATGCAAAGTGAAGTAACAAAAAAATATACAGGAAACCAACAGTGAAGGGAAGGGAACTGGGAGACTCAAATCAACGACTTGGAAGAGAAGGAAGAAATAAACATTCAGCTGGAACAGAATGAAGAAACAAGAATTTAAAAAAATGAGGAGAGGCTTAGGAACCTCCGGGATAACTTTAAACACCCAAATCAGAGGGGTGCCAGGAGAAGAAGAGCAAGAGCAAGAAATTGAAAACTTATTTGAAAAAATAATGAAGGAGAACTTCCCCAATCTGGCAAAGGAAATAGACTTCCAGGAAGTCCAGGAAGCTCAGAAAGTCCCAAAGAAGTTGGAT